TGCCTCACGGCCGGTGTCGCGCAGGATGCGCGGCGCCTTCGGACCCAAAGCCCTTTTGAGCGCCGTCAATGACCGTCTTTGGAGCTCCGGCAAGAATTGGTTTTTTACCCCCATAACTCCGATCACGTCGGTGTTTCTAGGGTACCGCGTACGCTAGTTTAGTACACATTCTTCGGGAGCACGTCCACCAGAGGGAAGTCCGTCGGACGAGATCCAGATGCAAACAAATCATTACCTGTTTGCTGCATGAGCAAGCGGAGGCCCCGGAATCTTACCCCATCCGTCTGCCCCTTGACCACCCTAACCTTTACTCCTCTCTCCTGATCCGCAGCTCCGTGCACGTGGTAACATGTATAATACACGTACAGAGCCAGTTCCCAGTTAGCTCATCCCTCTGATCAGCGGCTAGCATCATCGACGTCGTACATGTATAACATCCAGTAGCAGCGAGTTTCCCAGACAGCTCATCCCCTCTCATCCAGCCATGAGCATGTCACCCATGTATAATTACAGTAAGCAGCGAAGCTCCAGTAGCTCAGACTATAGTCAGTGGTTCTGCGAAGCGAAGCGTTTTACGCGCTCGTCAATAACGTTGTACACTGCCATCTTGTGTATTATTCACGGCAACGTGAACTCTCCTCAGTCATCCTCGAGTCGTCACCGAAGATAGAACCAAATATTACTCGCGCCTCTTACTACGCGCCCCTGCGTCACCATTGTGAAGCATTCAATCAGGTTTTGTTGAAACAAATTTCACATGAGATTGTCCGGGATTCGAGGAGAATCGAACCTGGGTCTCCTTGGTGATAGGCGAGCGACTTCGCCACCAGATGTCAGCAATGATTTCGCTCTGAGCCAAAATAACGGGTGTCACATGATCGCGTCTTCACTACTACTCGACACGGTCGCGACATCTAGTGGCACGACTGCGAAAGACGCGAAATGCAGTGACATAATGCCTCCGCGAAGACGGGCCTCGTGGCTCAGTTATAAAATCCGTACTATAATTGAGGGATTTTATTTCATCAATAGACATAGGCAGCCTTAACGAAACATGTAAGGTTTTGAAACTCTTGCATGCTAGATGTCGATTTATCAAAGATTGCTAATTTGTGGCAAACGATACCGATGTTTTTCGTGATAATCTTGATGGTTTAAACATGGTAGTACACAGTATTATCACTTAATGCCCAGTGAGGGATTTTTCATATGCAAAACACTTGTTTTTGGCTTCTTTGGCACTACTTAAAGAGTTTTATTCAATCAAAAGACGTAGGCAGCCTAAAAGGAAACTTGTAAGAAAGTTTTAAACATCGATGTATTATCACTCCCAAACACGAGTTTTGTTCGTCAAACAGTTTTAAACTTTTTTTGCAATAGTGTGGGAATTTTATTTCTTCAATAGACGTAGACATCCAAAACAATATACAACCAAGTTTTGGAATTCCTGTGTGCTAGATGTCGTTTTATCCGTGATCGCTAATTTTGGAAATACAATGCGCAAGCACTGTGCGCACAAAATTGTCGGACATTTATGGGTTATAGCTTATATTTTTTAACATTGATGTTTCCACTTCTGTAGTGTCGACGTTTCTGTGCGTAAACTATGTGGGTACGCAACCCCACTTTCCGACCTAACAAGATCCCACGTTCTCCCAAGTATACATTTCAGATTTAACAGTCTAGGCAGAAATTGAGTCACACCCAGGCGGATCAGGGGCGCCCACGGAGCGTGCCTGTTCGAAAAACATCCCCTAGACACGTGACGAAAATAGAATTCAAAAGAAGAAAAGAGTTTAGAGTAACCCCTAAAGAATAGGAAAAGAAGTCCTTGGAAAGTTGAGATAAAAACAAAACTAATAGAACATTGTAATAGTGTTGTTTTATCCAATTCCGTTTCTGTGTTCATTGTGTTTAATAAACGTTGCCTTAAATAATTCTGGACATAATCAGTTTATAGAAACTCAAGAAGTCTGGAGATTATTGAATTCGAAAGAAGTCTGGGCCGATATAATACAGGACCGTTTTAACAGCATTTGGGGACCTTGAACCTAAGGCAATTTTGAGGCCGATATTCTTTCACTGATCCCCCAATTTTGGTTCTGTAATGACAAGAAAATCTTATCAATTCACTTGGTATTTTTTATACAGTGGAATCCAGCCCACAAATCCGAAATTTCGGATAATCTGCACAAAATTCGGGGCCGAGGAAAAATTAACAAAGTAATAAAATAAAATGCGTATCTGTAGTGTAAAGATAGAATTTTATAATTACTGTAGAACTAAACAACTAATTATTGAAACAAGTTTTCGAAATGAAATGTTTATTGAAATGGAAACTACGGAGTGTATCACATGTTTATATATTATTACGGTAATTTTCACTTAGAGGAACTTGCTAAATCAGTAATCTTCTTTTGCCGTAAGGAACTGAATTTGCTTCATCATGTGATGTGATGATGGAATCGCTATACTACATTGTTGTCATTTTCTTACCGCACACTTGCATTGTGTCTAGTAATCCTATAGATGTATTTGCACAAGTACGGTACATTTTTTCAGAAAATCCGAACAGACCACACCTCACATTATTTTATAATAACAGGGTTCTGCTATATTTTGAAAATATTTCTTAGCATTCCAGTTTAACATTATTTTTAAAAAAAATTGTAAATACCTGCAGCATGCATTGTATGATTGTGTACATATCCTGACTTGCCATACATTGCGTATGCTGTATTAATGTGACAAATTTATTACTATTATTATTATTATTATTATTATTATTATTATTATTATTATTATTATTATTTTATTTTTATTATTAGTTCTTAAGTGAATTCTTACCTTCTCAATAGAATCAAAATTTTACATTTGACATGATGTATAATACTGTGTTTTGTTTTTCAACATTTGATTATATTTTATTGTGGTATAGTTTGTATGTAGGTCTAGAATCTGAAGATGGAGGAAACAATGTCAACCTCCAAAATGTAATTAGCAAATAAAAAATTTGTAAAATATTTTTTGAGATGTCGGTTTAAAAATTTAAATAGTAAAAGAACAGATGATTGTCAAAAATACATGGATTTTTTTTAATAATAACCTAGTTAAAAGTCCATCCGTAACTAGAGTGTAGTAACTTCTACAATCTACTTTAAATTGTCCATTTTGTAACAAACATAGGCTCTGCATTATGTGCTCAGTAAGGCTGTATCAATGTATCTGAATGACATTCAATTTCATTTGTTGCTAGAGCCAAATTCTCAGAAGTCTGTACGCTTTAAAAAATTTTATCCTCGCACTCTTCAACGAACTAATTTCCCAAAATTATTAGAAAATGGTGAAGAATATCTCTATGCTAGTTGACAGACATTTTGTATCCAACATGTTATATATTAATTAATACTTACATAGTTTTGTGCATGGAATCTTAAGTCTGTCTTAAAATGCGCTTAAGCATAAAATGTTTGAGTAATTTTGATTTTTTTAAATTTGTTTTTCTCCTGTTTGTTTTTTTTCCCACGTATTCTGTCTTTTTGTTCCTTTTCTCTTTAGTACTCTATAGAGAAATAAAGAAGTTTTGTAGGGAAGAAATTCTAAAACTAATTACTAAATGGGGGCTGCTTACATGTTTACCAGGTGTTTTTATGACGCGTGTTTTTTTGTTTGTGTGTGTGTGTGTGTGTTTGTGGAACAGTTGAAGTACTGAGAACACAATACAAAATCAAGAAATGTCAATGGGAATATTTTTTTTACTGAGAAAGAAAATGTGAAATGTACCCCATTGGTTGAAAGTAGTAAAATTATATTTTGACTCTGCTTCATATCAAGTATAGCCAGATTAAAAATTTCAAGAAAGCTGTAGTAGCCGGTCAGACCTTCAGTCATTTGAAACACAGCTTTCCTACAGAATGTGAAGAAAAGCTGAAAGAAGGTATATTTGTTGAATTATAAATCTGAAAATCATCCAACATATGAAACCATGCTCATGAATCTCAAATTAGTTATTTGGCCCTCTTTCAAAACGAGTGTTACAAGGCAACAAACAATATGATAATTTGATTTCCTTAATGAATTATTTGATGCTGAACTATAAGAATATCAGGCACAGAATGTCACTTTATATTCACACAGTCTTCCTGGAAATTTCCATGTCATAAGCAATGAGCATGGTGGAGTACTTTCACCAAGACATCCTCGTGTTCTAAAGTTTTGAATTTTGTTATATAGATTTTATTTAACTTATACCGGCTTTATTTACAATATATACATGCAAACATAATTTAGTCACTATAGTTATTATTAGTCATTTTAGTTACAAAATGCTAACATCCATAATATTCATAATCAATTTATTTTGCTATATACCAAAGTTAATTTTATGAGGTTTAAGTTGTTTAGTCTTTGTCTATGCGATTTATGTCAGTGCTGTTGCAAATACGCTTTTCTATTGAAAGGATTGATAAATCAGATAATCTTTCCTGATTCATAGTCAAATGTGAATAATTTTTATTTACTTTTAATTTCGAAAATGGCCTTTCTGCATTTGCTGTCACTGGTTACTTAAGAAGTATTTTCAATGCTGTTGTTACATTGGAAAAGTTCATCCAAAATCATTGACCTATACATTGGAATTATTACTTTCGGGAAATTTAATCTTTTAAGAAATGTAATAAAATTGTAATTTTATTAGAAAGATCTACGGTGTGAATGTCTTTTGGATATAGCTCATCTTTTTTGTCAGTTTACTTCCATTGTAGATCCTTGCATTGTTAGGAGATCATTTTTATCTAGGTTTGCTAATTTCTTGAAATCATAAAAATCCAAACATGTCATGATTTTCATATGGTACATTCTTGAATTGATGTAATTGCAGTGTCAATAATAATGTCTCAAAAATAATCTGGATCAGTAATGCTTTCATCATCATAATTAAATAATTTAGTTCTTTTGACTTGGCAGGGATGAATATATTTCTTCAACTGCACTTGATGCTACTATTTTAATGCAATTTCTTTCACATCATTAAATTTATTTCTGTATTCTTGAAGGTAATGCAAAATACTTTTGAAGAGATTGATATGAAGATAAATCACTGCAATAAGAAAAGAATGCAATTGATTTTGAAGGTTATTAGAAACAACATTTACACGAGATAATATGTCGAACCAAACACAGAACACAAACTTAAAATCATCTAATGTCTATGATAAACATCATACTTCTTATTTTGTTAAGTTATCTAATTTATTACTTTTAATTATTGCAGTTAAACTCATAAATTTCAAATAAAAATTGTAATGGTCATACAGCTTTATCTCTTAATTTCTGTCTTGTTTCTGATGTTTTCTGTTTAGAAAGTGTTAATTTATCAGATAAGATGTCCGATCTTTTATCCTGTCATTTATGTGTATAAGGAATAGTATTAGGCCAAGGATGGATCCTTGCGTGACTCCACAATTTATCATTTGAGGGCAGGAGTAGAATGAGGAGACTTTGTTTCCTTTAGTGTGCTGGAGGGCAACTATTTGGCTACGGTTTGATAAATATGATTTGATCCATTGGTCTGCAATGCCTTGAATCCCAAGCATTTCTAGTTTTCTTAAAAGTATGTGATGGTCAATAATGTCAAAGGCTTTTGACAAATCTAAGAAAAGGACAATGGGAATTTCCTTCTGATTTAGTGCAACAAGTGTCATTTAAAAAGGAGAAGATAGCTGTGTCTGTGGATCTGTTACTCCTGAAGCCATGCTGTGCCTTTGTAAGAACATTATTTGCACTGAGAAACTGTTTGAGTTTATCATTGAAAAGCCTTTCCAGAAGTTTTGAAAATCCTGATAACAAAAAGATAGGCCTGTAGTTCATTCGATCATAACTATTGCCCTTTTTAAACATTGGTTTAATTTTGCCATTTTGAATATATCTGGGAATATGCCTGTTTTTTGAGAGTAATTGCAGATATGAGAGAGTGGTTGCACTATACATGGAGCACTGTGTTTGATAAGAAAATCTGGAATGTTGTCCAGGTCTGCTGAGAATTTATTTACCATTTGTCCAATGATTGTAAAAATTTCAGAGGGAGTGGTTTCATATAAAAATATGGAATTTACAATTTGTGCAACATTAGTGTTTGGTTGGCGAGTTTTATTGTTTAGAGTGTTGAGAGATTATCTTTGTACTAATTTGTGAAAAGTGTGCATTGAATATATCAACTATTTCTTGTAGGTCTTGTACAGTTTGGTTTTGGTAGTGAAGTTCTATATTTTTTCTGTTATTATTAGTTGATGCTGTAGTCTTTTTAAAAATGCCCCACATAGCTTTTGTTTTATTATGAGCATTTGCAATGTTCTTATCATTTGTCATTATTTTTGTTTGTTTGATTCCTTTTTTATGATTGAATTATATGTTTTGTAATATGAAATGAAGTTTGAGTTACATTGGTTATTTGTTAGTATTGTATACATGTTGTGTTTTCTTTCACATGACACTTTTTTGCCTGTGATAATCCACGATTTAGTTTTGTTTTTTGAGTTTTTGAGGAAAAATGGCATTGAAATGTTGTAATTATATATTTATGAATGAATTAAACTTATCATTGTATCAGTTACCTTATATACTTCATTCCAGTTTTCAAATCTGAGTAAGTTTTGAAATTATTTTATGTTTCCTCGGGAATAGTTACGGATTTCTTTGTAAGTTGTCTGATCTATAGTTTTTGTTTCTGTTTGAAGTGTTAGGATCTGAGCAGTGTGGTCACTGAAACCTGTATTAAATGAAGCAACAGAAAAACAATGGTTATTTGCATCTATTATTATTTGATCTGTAGCTACGTTACTATTTTTGTATATTCGGGTTGGTGTATTTATGGTTATTTGTAAATTGTATGATTTTAGTAGGTCTTTAAATAGATTTTCATTACTGGATTGTGATAGGCAATTTATATGGAAGTCATCGCAAAGAATAATTTTATACTGTCGGTGTTTTTTAAATTTTGTTAGAATAACTTCCAGATTTTTTAAAAAGATTTTCAAATTTCTAATAGGGTTGCGATATGAGCATAAGCAATTCTTAAATGTTCAGACATTGAAGTATCAAATTCATCTATTATTTCTATTAGTATGAGAAAATGACCAATATTATTTTCGTAGATTTTGCTACTACCACCTCATGAAACCAAATTTTGTTGTAACCATTAATTGTTTACTTCTCTGCTGAAAAATTCTGTAATTTGAGTAATTTAATGGTATACTGTACATGAACATTGCTTTTTTGTATTAAATTAAATGTTGTATATGCTGTCAATCACAAAAATCAGAATTTGTCAGAAGAGATGAAAGTTGTGAAAGAAGTTTGCAAGCAAAACATAAAATGAACATGAGTTTTTAAAGTCAAATATGTTAGATTTTCTCTTGAGTCTACTTCACCGTTTGGGATTTTCCTTAGGTGAGAATTTGAAAGATTTCTTTCTGAATTTTTTGGATAAATCGATGCTTGTGGAGAAATCAATTTCTTGTTACCTTAACATTCTCTCATGTTTGAAGTCAATTTAATTTGCAATTTCGCAGGAGCATTTACATCAATTGTAATCAAGTCTTTGAAAAGGCTTTACATTTTTTACACACAATATGTGAATTATATTTTACTTGATCTTACTAAATCTTAATCATGTGTTTTTAGGGAATTTTGGAACACTTGAAGTATTTCAAATTTCACTAAGTCTTATGACTATTTAAGAATATCTTTACAACTACGAAGAACAGTGTTCTAAGAGTACAAGCTGATTGTTAACTGTAGTCAAGTACCATGTTTCAATCATCTGAATCTGCAATCACCAGAGAGGGAAAAAAGGGGGCGTTGCGCACGTAATAAAGGTTGCTAATCAGAGTTGAGCATTGACTTAACAGATGCCGCATGAATAATGAAAGTAACCAATGTTATATATTGTGTGATCCCCCTCTAGAACTAGGGTGGCGTAGCCGTGAGGTGTTGTCACATACAAGAAGAACATATGCATTTTTCCTTAAAGAAAATTAGCAGCAAATTTTTCAAACAAAATAAATATTAAAAATGAAACTGTACAGTGGATGTGTACATAGTGTATTGTTTTATTTTTGTTGTATTTGTAAGTTATGTGTCAGGGAAAACTAATTTTTCATTGAATCTAGCAACTCAAAATTTATAATATTCGTATGAAGCATTTTATGTGTTCAGTTGAAATGCTTTGATCCATTGAAGTCAAAAACCTCCGTCCACATTTTATTTCACATTTTTGTGTTAGTTTTGCGTATATAAGGAAAGTGGTAGAGTAATCTTGATTTTGCCATTGAATTTAGCAACTCAAAGATAGATATTTCCTCATATTTATTTGTTTTAAATGTAATTGTTTTACTACACCTAAAATCATTAGTGTGCACTTAAATTGTATTTGGTTTAGTAGTATCTAAGAAATTTAACGAGGTAAAGAAGAACTGTTGTTTTTTCACTGAATTCAGAAACCCAAATTTAAGTAAAATCAGAAAAAAGAGATAAGATATATTTTAAGATTCAGAAAACAGCTGAAATTTGTATTTATGTTACTATTTATTAATCTAATTTTGATTCTTCTAGAGATATTTTGTAATCTCTTTTGGTAGCCATTCATTTCCAAATCTCTTAGTTGGTGGTTTCAGTTAAACATTTTTTTAATTTCTGCCACCAACCAAAAGAACCAAAACAGGAATGTTTGTGTTTTCAGAAGAGTAGAAATTTTTAAAAAGTGAATGCTCACAAAGATAACAGTTACATAGGTCTACCCTTAATATTTGTATTAAATAAGGAGGTTGTTTATTGAGCTCTTAATTCAAAGAAACATTGTTGGCTGGGCTATCCGGGACAAGCCGCGTCGAAGTCATGATGGCTAACGTTTCGGCCAGCGTATTGTGGCCTTCTTCAGAGCATACTGCGGACAGCAGTACGGCTTGTCCCGGATAGCCCAGCCAACATAAACTCCGGCCGCGGAAGCCTACGCAACCATATCAAAGAAACATTGAACTTCATGATAAAAAATGTCTTTGATAATTTTACAATAATTTACTTCTGCATACATTTTAATTACATATACATTCACTCACACTTCCTAACATACAATGCTCAAAATCATTACTCTATACAATTATAATTACATTATTACAATATTCTCTTGATCCTTTAGTTCAAAAATATATTTACAAATGTGAAGACCCAAATGTGAAGAAATGTAATTCACTGTGTAGTGAAACCAGGAAAATTCTAAATATCAATTCTATAATTGTGATTGTTTATTGATGTGCTGTGTCATTAAGTTTAATGCATAGCCTCATTGGAAATGAATATTAAACTTCAAATTCAAATGGATGAGTAGCTCTGAATAATATATTATTACTATCAATGTTTCAATATTTTCTGGTTTTGCTATGCAGGGTATTGCCCCTAAGTATTTTTTGTAAACATTTTGTATTAATGATATGAAAATCATAAGAATATTGTTGTAATAAGTATAACCATCAAGTAATGACTTTGTGTATTGGAGCTTAAGATATTATGTGTGAATTTCAGTGAATGTATAAGTTTCTAAAATATGTACAGAAATTATCTTTAGGAACATTCCATATCAAGTGGTCTAATTTTTGGAAAAATGTCCCTTCCGACCATATCTAATTTTGATGAAATTTACTATGCTTGGTCTGTCATGTCTGAAAGGATCTTTTGTCAAGTTGTAGATGCTTTGGTAAAATAGTCTTTCAGAAGTAGCGGTTTGTTTCTCACCATGCAGAGTTATTGAACTGTACAGGTTTTTTGAAAAAGAAAGGGAAAATAGCAAATTATAGAGCTTTTTGCCCTATCATCAATTTTTAACTTAGTTTATGAAAAATTTTCATAAAAAGTACGAGTTAGAAGGTTGAAATAATGCTTTCAAAAATTATGTAATGATGTTGAACTTTATTTACTTTCCGAAGAAAGCTATTCAGGGTTAAAATCTGGAATTTCTTGGGACACCAGTTTTTTAGGGAGACTTTGCAACAATATACTCACTTAATGTATCACTAAATAAAGTGATACTAGTATTGTTTAGTAAGAAAATGTTATACAAGTAAGCATGACTCGTGTGTTTAACAATAACAGAGATGGAAGTATTGTTTCCCAAATTTGTGAAAATCTTATAGTATAACTGTACAATGCTCAATTAGTTGAAACAAACTGCTATATCTATAAAACTTTCACCTATGAAACTAGTTTACAATCATTTCTTTGAGAAATGCAGAACTCAGCATACATTTCCAGGACAGTCACACAAGGAGCCCTAGACCTTGTGAAAAGCAATGACCATAATGTAAAATAAAAAATCATTTGATTTATTATTGCATGAAGTTTAATATCTAAGTATTCTATAATGATTTTGTGTGTTTAGGTTTTAAAGAATTACCCTCCTCTTAAAACATTGTTTAAAAATATCCTAATTTTTATTTTTTAATAAATGATTATAAATTTCAAAAGTTTGTATATAGATTTGGATTTATTGAAGAAATCCAAGATTAATTAATTAAAAAATTCCTTCAAGAATGCATTAGTTTTAGTTTATATCTTTTTTTTTAATGTTACTGACTGATTTGAAAACTAACTAGTATTATTGAAATTACCAATCATATATTAAATTGATTATGTAAACTGACTGATACATAGATTTTCAACCAAAATAATTTTATTGTAAGCAACTGATACATAGATTTTCAACCAAAATAATTTTATTGTAAGCAACTGATACTGGATTTGGTCTTTCATGTTCACTTCAAAACCAACATGTTCTCGTGACTGGTGAAGTCGCTTGCATTTCCAGGTTCGATTCCCGTATGAATCCCCGTTGAACCTCATGTGAAGTTTGTTAAGCGAAATTGCGTGCTTCACAGGGGCCAGTCCAATCCCTGTGAATCGTCGTAAACCCACAGAACAATAAAGGCGTAAACGTTATTCCCGTTATTCCTTCACAATTCTGGCCGCAGGGGAGATGACGAAGGGCGGGTGCGAAGACGCTGCCTATCGGCAATTCCCTGACTTGACTACCGTAGAGGGTGCTGAGTGCGTAATAACGGAGGATTACTCCACGGTGCGCTCAACGCTCCGCGAAGGAGGTAAGAGACGCGTTGCGTGTATATAGATGCAACACATTTAAAAATAAATAAAATTAAAAAGTCCCCCACCTTGATCAGGTTTTCGTCCAGTTTCCCTGAGCCTTGAGCAAATGGTGAGATTGCTTGTTTTGCTTCTGGACATAAATGTAACTTGAAATTAACTTCTTCGCGCGTCACACAGTTTTTAACGTTTCTGACGTAAATAAATAATAATAATAATAATAATAATAATAATAATAATAATAATAAACATATTTACATTCAATTTATGAAGTCTTGTTTGTTTTTTGTTCAACTTGTGATGCCGTTAATGGGTTTTAACATAATACATGAACTTCATAGTGGTTGTTAATGTAGCCAAATGGAGTTCCACCAGTGGTAATTTTCGTGTTAAAAAGTATTATTTGTCCTTTGCTAGTTAAAATAAATTTTGTATGTAGTACTTAACTTGTCCAGATCGTCTACTTTTGGGCAAAGAACGTTCCTTGAAGAAGTACCTATTAACATACTTGTTGAAATTTTTGATTTATTATAACAGATATTATCATCAATTTGACAAATAGGTTCGTAACAGTTCATGCAAATGCCAGAAAGAGTAAACTATACTAGGTAATTTACACCACATCACTAAGGTACTCAGTGCATAGAAACCATGAAAAACCCGTTTTTCTGTAATTCTTGCAGAAAATCTTACAGGGAACTGACAATTGTGCCAATCGATTGTCTCGTTGATGGGAAGTTAATAAACCATTGTAATGTTATAACTCACTGTGGTTGCTTAAAAACAAACAAAAATGCACAATTTTTAGAGAATTTTCTTTGAATATACTGGATGATTCTACAAAAAAGTAATTAATTTCCTACTAGAAGATCAAGACGTCACTTTATTTGTCTTGATTGGGGAACCAAAGAGTCTGATAGATGGGCTCAGGATACTCAGTTTCTCAGAATTTCTGAATACAGAAAGAAATGAGCGTTTTGGGCAAGAATTGTTAATAAAATAGCCATATCCGTTCCGTTGTAATGAAATCTATTTTCAAAGGCACATCTGCAATAGTTTGGGCTCTTATCAATCATATCCTTCGTGAAGGAATAATATTTCCTACCGCGACAACATGGAGAACGATAATTTGAATATCTATATTTCCTAGTGAATGCTAGAAGACGTGCACCGTTAATGAAGTTACATTTATTCGTTATGTTTCAAAATCCAGTAATTCTGATAGCCCTGACAACCAAATGCCAAAGGATCGAAAAATATATAGTAGTAGTTATTGCATGCTACAAAATTGTGAAATTCTTCAAATCTGCTCGTTTTAACACGAATTACACGTTACCCTCCAAGTCTTAATATGCCATGATAAATGCTCCATACTTTTTCCCGTTTAAGAAAATTCTCTCAAAAATCGCGAGAACTACTCATATTTCAAACGGTTACATAATATAATAAAGCAATTTCTGTCCGTATTAACACATTTCAGTCATCACTTGTAAAACTCATTGCAGATCGTAGAACAATATGTTGAAAACTACTCTTAAAGCCAATTTATCAATACAAATTCCACAATTAACAACGTGTTTCACACAGCTATAACATCTGCCAACAATGAGATGGAATTCTCAACATTTCAAAGTGCCGTGCGAAATAGCATTCCAATCTGATACTTCCTGAAAGACTAGCAAAAGGAGCGGTTGAATTAAAAAAAATGCCCAAGTTTGCCAAACTAAATTTTTTAAGTACTGATTTTTTCGAACATTTCATTTAATACAAAAGCGTGTCAATATTGTACTATTGCAATGTTATTTTTTGTTGTATGAAATTTTCTAAACTACAGAGTTTGCTGACAATGGGAGCAGTACCACTTTCATTGCCGTTCTATTATACGAGAAAAAATGAAAGACAAGATTTGGAGCTGTTTTTGTGAAAATAGTTTTATAATTACGTATGTTTCAAGCAAAAACTACTCACTTTCGAAAAATTGAACAAGATTATTTCCCAAGATATATTCTTGATGCACAGATTTCCTTAAGAAAAAATATGTATCTTCAATATTGTACTTGAAGAAAGACGTCGAAAAAGTTAAACGTTTACAATTTTCAAAAATTTAGAGAGTTCAATAAAAATGCGACCAGTAGCATTTTCTTTTCCGTTCTTTCTTATATACGATGTAAAAAATTAATTACAAATTTGGAAGCCATTTCTGTCACACGTCTCCGAAATGTCATTTTAAAACAATTATTGCAATAATTGTTTTAAAATGGCCTATTTCACACAAAAGCTACTCATTATTAGAAAAATGAACATGTTTGAAGATCTGTTTTAATGAAGAGAGTAATTAAGAAGACAAAATATACCTTGAATATTGTAGTTACAGGAAAATGCTGAAAATTGTTCACCTTCTGCCTTCTTCGAAAATGCTACCTACGCCATTTCTTTAAATGTCTTTGGTTCTATGCGAGGAACAATTTTAAAGGGAAAATTTCGAACTATTTTTGAGAGAATATTGAAAATGTTGAGACTTCATGTAAAATATCTCCAAAATTCAAATCATCCGTTTCAAATTCAAGGGGTGGGGTGGGGACATCATACAGATCGTTAGGGTAATATCAATTTTGGGCGAATATCCTTTGTACGATTTAGCAGCTAGCGTTATTCCAGACCGTCAGACATTTTGCCATCAATCGAATTTTCGGTATTGGAGACCCACCAAAACTGGATTCTGACTGTCGTGTTAGAGAAGTAATTTATTACATATAGGAGAGAGATTTATCCACTCTTTCTTTAGCAGGGCCCGGCAATAAGAGATTTTCCTTTCGAAAAAATCGCTTGTTTTTACCGCAGTATTACATTATACTGTATAAACTGTAGGCGAGAAAGAAAAAAATAAATTGTGTAGCAGTGACAAGATATATTCATTTTATTTGTATTGTATTTTAAAATGTATGATAATTACAATCAGAATTTAATGCAATCTAATTTCAATTAGTATGTCGTTGATGAAAAATATTTCCATTTATTTTAATAATTTACACATCGTTCGCGCCAACTGCAACAATCATTCTAGTGCATTCTAACAATCGGATCTGTCTTTCGTTTTGTAGTACGTAGTGCATTTTTATTTATTTTAAATCGCACTTTTTCACGTTTTGCGCTTAGATGGAAACTACGCATTTTTATAGAAAGATGTTCCTGCACACAAATATATAAAATTACATTTCCTACGTATTATGTCTCAAATATTTTTCGTCAGGAGAACTGTTTACGTTTTGCTAGTTCACGTTAAACTGTAGCAAACAAATCATTATTTTCAGTCCCACAATCTTTTTAAAAATTATCGTTAATGACTAAATACACGCACTTTTTGAGAAAGATTTCTTCTAACGAACGTTTTCCTTTAGATGAACGATTTAGTTCATAGATATCTTTCTTCTAATGACTTTTCTCAAGCAGTGGGCATTGCTGAGATGTAAGAAAAGGTTTTGTACAGTCAGGTTGCAAATTGTTTCTTCCATTAACGTGGTCTAGCGCTTAAATCGTTCGTCTGACAGAGAGTACTTATGGGACATATATCGTAGCGTACTTAATATCATATATTTGCATGTACAATCATATTTCTATAGAAGTATTTTTTTGGTTAAAAGCAAGAATTGGGAAAATAGGTTCGTAAATCGTGTAGCGATCATCCTGAGAGCTAAAAATAAAATTATAGGAATACATAAAAATGAAATATAAATAATACAAATTAATTACAAAATGTTAACATTGTATGCCAGATGTGTAAGCAAACTGGTTCGCACTTATCTTGCAGCGTTAGGCCGCAAAACAAAGTTTTGCGGTTTTGTTATTTTTCGTTCTTTTGAGAGGTTGTCTTGTTTAGTCGTAAGAACCCAGAGCGTCACAGTGAAGTGCAAATGAATGGTTATGTATATAATGAAACTAGTATGAATGATGTGTGAATGTAGAAAAAAATAAAATTAGACAATTTACCAACGATATAAATAATAATTACGTAGAATATCATAAAATAGAACTAGAAAATGATTTTTAGTGTAAGTTAGTAATGCCAAAGTGCAATTAAGATAACTTTAGGTCTAGATTGTAATTAGTTGTAAAGAAAAAGCCCCCGCTGTAGCTGCTTAAGCCGCAAGGCAGCAGCGTATTAATAAAAAAAAAAAATATCATAGAAAATAAATTCCCCTTCTTCACAGGGATACTGTGGAGGGGACAAAAGAAGCGTCGGCCGACAGTGTGCGGTCGCAGGTAGAGGGATGTAGCGGGCCAAGGGTCGTAAGACGCGGGGCTGCTGGTGGATGCGGGTGGAGGGGGCAGGCCAGTGGAGTTAGGGGTGTACACATTGGGCTCATTTTAGCAGAGGTGACGAGAGTTCACGGATTTCCTGGTTAAGACAAGTCATGTTTTGGGTGCCCAGGTTGTTATGTATCTGAAGGGATTCTAATTTTATTGTGTGCCAATTCCGGTTTTCAATTCCTAGAATACGGAAATCAACGTCCAATGTTTGTTTGTTTAGATTTTAGTGATCCGCGAAGTATGAGACTGTGGAAGTGTTGTTTTTGCATGCTTGGTTGTTTTATTTGATTCTCTGCCTGTTTGTCCTAAGTAGTATATTGCCCTATATATATATATATATATATATATATATATATATATATATATATATATATATATATAGGACAAAGAGGCCGATTAATTTCCATAATCTAGAATTTGAAAACAGGTATTGGCACAGAATAAAATTAAAATCCTTTCATATACACAACAACCTGGAAAACCACATGACTTGTCTTCACCAGCAAATCCCTGAACTCTCGTCACCTCTGTTAAAATTAGCCCAATGTGTACACCCCTAACACCACTTGCCTTCGCTCGCCCGCTCCCCTCCTCACGCCTTCGCCAGCATCCCTCGGTTCACGATCCTTCGCCCGCACCCCCCACCTCCACCCCACTCTACCCAGCCAACGCACTCTGGCGACCGACGCTCTTTGTTCTCAAACAACACACGCTCTCAAAAAAACACAGTTTTGTTTCCCGGCCTGACGCTGCAAGATAAGTGTGACCCAGTTTGCTTACGTATCTGGCACGCAATGTCAACATTTTGGACATACTATTTTATAATTGATTTGTATAATTTATACTTCACTTTCGTGAATTCCTGTAATTTTATATATCAGCTTTGAGGATGATCGCTACGCAATCGACAATATCTTTAGGTTAATTGTAATTTTGATACTAGACATATTTTATTTATTTAATTATTAGAAGGTAGGTACCTACCTCACCAGTAATCTTATTTATTGGGAGTAAATGATAACATTAGAAGTTTGGAGTACTTATATTAAGATAATTGTATATACTTGGTAATTATCTCAAGTCTAGTTTACTTTTTAGGCGATCTATAAATATTATGAATATTGTATTATCCGTCCACGTTTTCTTGAGCCTTCGCTTCGCTAGTTGAGAGAGGAGTAGGGAGTTCGTTTTTTTTTTGACAAAATAAATTTTATATCAAATTTGTAGTTCGTTTGCAAAATAGTTTGTACCAGCTGAAGTACCCTGCGTTGCCAAGATATTTTTCGCAGTAATTTATTAGACAGGAAGAGGTCTATCCCCGCCCTGTCGCAGATCGAACTTGTAACTACTCTATTGTATACCCGCTCAGGCTTGCCCAACATCTCTCTGCTTTGTGTTCCTTACTAACTTTCTCACAAAAAAATGTTTGTTTTTTTTTGTAAAAAATTGTGGTTCCTGATCCCAAACTTTACTCACGTAATAACTAAAAATAATATACAAATCTGAGCTAAAAAATAAAATATATGTAGGTACTCACATATTACTTTTGTGAATTTTATATATTGTACACATACTTTCAATCGGTTGCGACATTGTAAAATTTATTCTTTATTACATTGTTTTCTTCTCGCATATGTATAAACAAAAGATTGAAATTGATCCCACGGCAAGGCAATTTAAATATAAATATAAATAAAGTGCTTTTAATTGAATTCGAGTATGCGTTTTAGGGATCTTGATAAATAGTGACAGACGGACACCACTTGGACAATTATAACATAGAGTAATGATATATACCTCCTTAATCTATGATGTCTCAAAAAAATCCCAATCACACAGTACCTGCCAGCTTGCTCACCACTTGGGGCGCTAGTGATGCCGCATCAGTCAGCAGGGCCCGATTTCAGCGCGTAGGGGAAAGTTAAAGAGACGGAATAGTCCACGGAGGCCCTTTAGCTGCCTTGCCCACAAACCTCAATAACGTTAGCAGTAGTGTGGTGGGAGGTAGAGTGTGCCTTTTACGTACAATGAAAGACCGTGCTTTGCGAATTGACAGTAGGTAATTTAATTGTTCATTTTGCTTAGCTGAACATTTACATTAAACGTTTGTGTTTCAGTTCTTGCAAGAGGAGTGTGTTACGTAGTTCGTGGAAAGAGCAGAGAGAGTATTATAAGCGCGCCGTTGCGCAAGTGTCACGAGTTGATAGAATAAGTTTTTGTTGAAAGGGTGTGGACAAACCAAAACAAACACGGAAGTTCAATTACTAGGAAAAAGACTAACGCACTGAGGGTGAGTACATTGAGAGGCTAGGAAAATAAGTGTTTATTTGTTTTCTTACTTTTGATTTGAACCATTTCAACAGGAAGGAGTGGCAGTGTGTCGAGAGAAGATTGTGAACTAATATATTCTCTACAGAGAACCGAGATTAGTATTTCCCGTGATAAAGTTGTTTCTTGATTCTGTCGAGGTAAGTTGGTTACATAGAAAATGCTTAAGGCTGTGATAGTTGTATAGAAAAAAAGTGATTGAATTTTGTGGCAGTTCATTGTTATGGTTGCCAGGTGTTGCCACTATTTCAGCGGACAGTCCGCTTTTTTCACAAAATAGTGGACATTTTTTTTTTTAATTCAAAAGATTAATGATTAATTGGGACGTAATCTACAACTGTACTAAGAGAATAAGGATAGGAGAATCGCGTTTTTTTAACGTAACTTAGAATGAGACAAATAATAAAATATTCATTGAACTCGAGTCTCCGAAAAAATATTAATCATACTCAATCGTTTCACGAGACATTTCATAAGAGTATAAAATTATTTACACAGTATTTTTCTTAACTCGCATATACCAATTTTTATATTATATATTTTTGTTAGTTGGGTAGGTATGTCTTGGAACACTGGATAGTCTTATTTGAGGTTCAATGAGTAACTAGTGTCCATATGGAGCGCGCGAATTTGTCAAACCGAAGATTTTGGCGAAGCATTTTAAAAATAAGTTTAATGCAATTTGTACCAATTTGTTGAAGTAAAATGTAATAGAAATGTTTTAATATTATTGTAACATATTTGATGATTTGAATTTTAAATAAAGTGTTGAAGTGATTATTTTAATACGTATTAAAATGTTTGAAAGAAAATATATAATTTAATTGTAATTTTTTTTTTAATTCTGTACTACTTAACCCCTCTGCTTATCCACTATTTTTTGGAAGCAGACCTGGCAACCCTATACATTGTAGGATGTGTCTACAAACTACGTCCAAAATTACTTTTTTCACCCCCCCTCCCATTCAGAAGTGCTTTGCTCTCCAGAAAAAAATATAAAATATTTTGAAAAAGACAAAAAAATGTTTATATGTGTAAAATTATTATTATTCAAATAGTTTGGATAAGAACTTACATGTATTTGGACACGAAATTAAACATGAATTTAAAATAAAATAATAAAATTAAATTTTACAGGGGCAGATCCAGAAACAAATTTTCGAAGATAATTTTTTTTTTATTCAAAATGTTTCGATCAAATGTGTCATATTACAGATTATGTAGTGTAATGCAGTAGAATGATCAGCTCATCTTGCTACACAATTTTATTAGTTTAAATGTTTACATGAAAATATTTTTGCTTGGGGAAGGGAAAATATCCATTGATCCATGCCTGAATTCTATAAGCAATTTGTTAATTTTAGCTTGTATTTATACAAAAAGTTTTTTTTTAATATACAGGAATTTTTTCCAGAAGTAGAGGAACACAGTAATTATCTAAATCTGGCCTGCTACAGTTTGATGTTAATGTGTTGACAGCAAAGCGTAAAGCAGTCTCCCTAAAACTGTAGCTTGGAGTATTTGCTACCTCACAATACCTGGTTCGTAGCAACTGTCCCTTATTGTACAGTAATCAACATTAGTGCTTGAATTATAAAAGTATTTCTTAAGACTTGTGAATTGAGGATTTAATGTCGTCTTCATGTAGAAATGATACCAAGATGTCAATTTTTTTCAAAACTAATTTTTAAGGGTTTTAATTGTATAAGCCCTTAAAGAGTCGAAGTTAATCTCGTTTTTTTAAAAATTCATTTCTTAACAAATTAATGCATTGAATACAGATTGCTTTCTATATACACCTATAAAGACATAATGTGAATTTGATTGATTCTCGGTCATTTGTCGCACTAATATTTGTTGGAACATTTAAAAACATGAGACGTCAAATTTTTAATTTTCCTTTAAAATACAAAAATTGCACAGAAAATATTAGAGAACACAAAATCTATTGTAAATAACACTGCAGCTTTTCTATAAATCATATTGATTTTTATTGCTAATATTTTCTTCCAAGGCCATAACAAATGGCAGTGATTTGTGAGGGCAGATTCAGCTCCCTCTGTGTGATACTTAGGTCACTACATACTTTAAAATTTAATTGAGTCTTAATTATAAATATTAGAGCCGACTAGTTCCGTGGGTCACTTTTTAATTAATTATGTTATTCTGTACTTAATTTATCCAAGGAAACTAAACTGGGTTTTCAAAAGGTTCTATGAAATCCAATGCCTTTAAACTTCTTACAATATTCCTACACTTATCTCACTTTTTTTTAAAGACCTTGTCCATGATTCAATGTTCAAGACACTCATGTTCCATGATCATACCATTTTGTAATTTGGATTACATAGGCAATTCAATTTTTTATCACAGTAAACCTTCACTGTTATAGTAATGGAAATGTGTTTCAGCACAACACTGCAATACGAATTTGAGTATTTGTTCAAACAATATCAGTTTATTCAACATTTGTAATAAAGAAACTACTGTGGGGCAATGATTTGTTCTAAGGCCATATTCATACTGATACAAATTTTATATATAGGATATAGGCTTTTGGACCTAGTGGATAGTGTCATAGCTTGAGGCTTCCTAATCGACAGTCTTTAGAAAGCATTGAAGAAAAGACTCGTTCATTGTTCTCCAGCATTTTACCGTTCATCCCAATTGTTTGTATACCTCGTATTACAAAACTTTCCTACTTCACTAATAATCACTTGCTTTGAACATTATAGCTGATTTTTCTCTCCAAGAAGAAGTTGACATGCCAATGTTGCATATTTTATGTTAGTACATCTTACATGCTTCTGTAATTGATAAAGACTTCTGCTTGGAGATGCTAAAGCAGCTTAAACAGCAGTTTTCATTCCCTCTGGATCAATAAACACTTTTATTGCTGATCTTCTTTCTAAGCATAGTGAAGAAAATACAATACGAACAAATATTAGTGCACTGTACTTTAGAGCAGTTTGCCTTGGTGCAACAAGCCTTTCCAATTCGAAGTGAAAGAAGTGTGTGTTGAAATAATAATGGCTCCAAAACTTACAGGTAAGGTTTATATCTTCAAAATGACGTGAGGTTTCAGTTACCAGTAAATAGATATTCTATAGGTGTACGCTTGTAGCCATATTCAATAAAATAAAAAGACTGAGCTAAAATATTTACTTTGTTAGCTTGAAATTCAATTTTTGCCAATATACCAGATCTGTTCTTTAAAAAATTATCTGCGCTGTGCTCTGAATTATCCAGGAAGTTCAGGGAGAACAATGAAACTTTATAAATAAGCTCTTAAGACAATTTTAAGCATATTTTGTCTTTTAAACTCCTTCGATATTTTAAATGGCTGAGCTGCAATAAGCTCTCAAAGAGTTTGAAAAAAATATTCTATGCAAAAATTTGCATTTCTCAAACATGTAAGTTGTTTACTCATTTCTTTTGAAAATAATATACTTGTTCACAAAGAAAAATAAACACAGAAATAATAAAGCATTTGAATTGTAGAGATTGGGTACTTTTTTCATTTGAGTTGATTTTCTTCGTGAACAAGTATATTCATTTCTTTACATATTTTCCTCATTTAGTTGTTCCTAGTAATCAAACCTCTTTACCTATAAAATAATAATCGTGTCATTCTGTAGATCCTGTAAAAACAGTGGCCAGCAAACTGATCTGTTAATTTAATAAACCCTGGGGGAGGAAATACTAGATACTTTGTTACATTTTGTAATAGTCAGAATATAAATCATATTGATTAATTAAATCTGTGAATATTAAAATTGTGCAAGTAACATGTGTATAATGGTATTTTTATTTGTGTGGAAAGGGATGCTGCCATTTGAAAGTGTACTGGACAGTAAAAGAAAATTTGAAATTGAGATGTGTTCTCCTGAGAAAATTTTGTACAAGAATATTGGAAAATTTGATTCATTAGAATAAATTGCATAATGTGTAAAGTTTTATATATTTTAGTATTATTAGCCTCTAATTAGGGTGATTCTTTTGAGTTAGGAAATGTATTACATGTTATTGGAAGTATGCTGAATATTTAAGTACAAAATTTTCTGCTCAAATTAAATTATTAATATTTAATAATTATTAATTATTTTTTTCATTTGTAAGTGTTTCAATGAAGTGCACCTTTGCCTATAGGTATAAAGCTCACCACAACATTGTTATAAAATAAGCTTCATTTAGAATAAGATTATTTAAAATTAATCATTACACGATTGTCAAATATTGAGATGAAATTTGTTTGAAGGTGAAAAAATTCACTGAAAAATCTCATTAAAATTTCTAATATACTTGCCAATAACTCGTGCCCAAATATTTTATAAATTAACTTATTTTAAGAGTTGCTGAAATCAAAATGTTCTCTATTGTGACAGGCTATTTGATGGCTTTAATAAATTGTAATTACGAAATAAGTAGTATTAAATATAAGTCAGCAGGGAGCAAAATTAGAAATATTTCCAGAAGAAAAGGAGTATTTAATTAAGTAGAAGTTACAATAATACTCACAATCCTACATTCACGAGAATAAATATCCCTTTTGTTAGTAGAGTAAGAGTAGATTACATAAGATTTCGGCTCCAAGAGTCTGTACAGAGGGCACTGCCAGCCCACAAATAAATTATTTTTACTGTGAATAGAGGAATATTATTATTATTATTATTATTATTATTATTATTATTATATTGATGTATTTATATTTAGGTACGGGAGCTGTTGATTTTCCACAATTTGATAACTTGGTTCCATGAATTTACCTGTAAATAGAAATCCAAATTTGTTTATCATATTATAATAAAGTAAGCGAATAAAGATTGTTAATTAATAAGTAATAAAATAAACCAAAACCCCCTCATTACACTATGTATTGTCATTATGAGTCTGTAGTTCATCTTCTACATTAATGTTACCACACTAGTCCAAACCAAAATAGTCATGTGTGTGCTATTGATCAGGTAAGGTAGATCATACATTCAGAAGGATCCCATTGATTTTATTTGTTGTTCTTGAGCAGAATGCATACTACGTGATGGATAACCAAGTTTGAGAGGTTTTGTTCAGCAGCATTTTTCCCCCTATAGGCCACTGGTCTACCAAATTAATTGTGCTAATTATGAAGAAGAATATGTGGGCACAAGGAAGAATGAGAATTTCAGAACATCAAAACAATTTCCCTTACTTCACTAAGACAAAATGTAATTAGCAAACACAATTTATATCCAGTATGTTCTGTTACAGTATGGGATAGTTTGTATTTTGGATTGCGAGAATAGTTCTTATATGTGCAGTAATGACAAATTTCCCATACACACAACTTTCCCAACACAATCAGTATTCAAATGTGCACAGATACATTATATGAAATATGTAAGATCTTAATGTGAAATGGTTAGTGAGATTTGTCACATTATGCTGCGTTTTGTATTCTTTGAGGCTCCTGTAATTCCTTGTTGTTTATGTTTAGGTAGGTTATAATCATTTTTATTAAAAATTCTAACAGTCACATCATCCCTTCAACTTTGTAGATTTTGCTCTTTTAATCATTTTT